TTGTTTATCTAGATTTTTTATTATTATTAAAAGACTGCTCTTGATTTGGCAATAGGGCTCACGTCTTGTTTTGCTATTTTTTAGATCTTCTAAATTCAACACGTTCAAGATAAACAAAATCACAGTCTTGTTGAAATACATGTAGTAGAAAATAACGTGAAAGCACATTTGGAAATCAAGTGAATGTCTGGAAGATAATAAGCACTTAATGATTGTTCTGGGTATGGGGTGATCACATCTCTCTTTCGTAATAGCCAATTTGCATTAATGTTTTTGTTTTGTATCACTTGTGTATCTAGATATTGATATCTTCACATTTTCATACTCCAAAATTTAGCTTTGGTTTGTGTTTCTATGACTCTACTAAGTTATCGAGTGCAATAGTCATGGATGCAGAAGAAACTCCTGCAGAGCCTGATAGCATGGAGGAACATGTAATTTATTAAATGCGTTCTACTCTTGTGGTTGGAAAAATCATTTTGCATTAGATGTAGCAACGATTAGAACAAAATGGCAAAATAGATTTCATTAATCAATCGAAACTTATTGAGAATAAAACTAAGTTCATGTTTGGGCTCCATTAAAATGGATTTTGAGGAGAAATATGTTTTACAACCGCAATTTTTTGGAGGATATGTGGTTAAAGAATAAAAAAAAGTTTTGGACTTACGTTTAATTTTGTTTTCTTGAAAAATGTGTGATTGAAAATAAGTTTTGAAAAAATATATTCCAGGGGAAAATGGAGCTGAAACAGGAGCTAAGTCTACTTTTTGTTAAGAGAGAGAGAGAGATACTGATACATGCTTTTACTTGCTTCAGGTCAGTTAAATGAGGATATGCATGGTTCTTTTGCTAGATTCTAGGGACCCTTTACTCCCTCTTAATAGATGGAGATGTAACATCGGGGAATATGAAGTTGGACAGAGGCTATATTCCTCCACACGTCATTACAAATCAGAAGAATCAGAAATGTGTAAGTCTCTTGTAACTGGCATTAAAATGTTTATTACCGAAAAAATGAACTTCTTCATTTGCTTGTTTGATCTGGAATGATATAACATATTAAGACCCTGTTTGCTACTCGTTTTTTTTAAAATGCATTTTTCTCTCTCTTCTTTTCAACAACACATTCTTTATTAAAATAATATTACACGTAAATCAAAAAAATTTCCTTATTTTTCAACCACACATTTTTCATCAATTTACTATTCAAAATGCATTTTTACAGAAAATATCTCTCAAACACCCTCTAAGTCTCTCTGCATGCTCAATAAAGAAATGTCTACCCAGTGTAGTTATAACAAACATTGAGTTGACGATGTAATTCATGAGAATCTAATACATGTAATACAATAACATTACTTTCAAAATAACCCGGCTCAAGCATTGCATGAGCAAAAACTAGTATTAAAAAGTTACCTATAATGAGGATAATACAAATAAATAAATTTGATCTAATATGATATAAGTTGGAAATTGGTTTTTATAAGTTGGTTTGATAAGCTTTTGATCAATTATTTGTGTGGGTCTCGGTAGTCTAATGAAAGACTTCAATGACCTAATTCTACTCTGTGAATCGATGAACATACTATATTTATTTTCTCATAACCAACTTAGAGGGAATGAGAAATAAAGCTTAAAAGATGTCACTTGAAGTCGAATTAAATTGGAAATTAAAATTGATGAAAAATTGAAAAAGTATCAATCCCGTATTGGGAAACTAGAATATTTAAAATCACTTTATATAACTCAAAATGACACTTGGTTTTCGATCCCAAGGAAAACGAATAGTTTTTGAAAGAGAGATTAACAAAACCTATGCGTGCAATTCCGTTTGACCGATCGACTCTGTTTGTTCAAAACGCAACTTTTCAATAGTTGTATCTTTTGGACGCAACCCTTTAATTTTTATAAATTGACCCCTAGTTGTTGAATTTCACTCATTCCAAAATTATTTTAGATTTTCTTTTGCAAAATATTCATTTTCTTCAGGCACTATTTCGAATTTTTCATTTTAGTCCTAAGTATTATTTTCTTGCGTATTTTAGTCTTTTTCTGATTTAGAGATATCAAAATACTAGTATGTTCATCAGGTCTTGTAATTCAGAGTACTACTATTACAAGTCAAGGTCATTGTAATTTGAAAGATGAGTGTCGAAAGATCGTCATCACTAGTGCAAAGAATTATCGCCTTGATAATAAAGAATCGAACTTACCTTGACCATATTATTTGAAAATAACGAAATTCAACCCAATTAACACCTAGAGAGGGGTGAATAGGTGTTTACGCGGAATTTAACATTACTAATCAATAAATGCAACAAGTCACAATTATTAATTTATCCAGATGAATTCACATGCATATTACGCTATATTGAAATACCGCAATTCAATAAAATGCAAAAAATAAATAACACGATAATTGTTGACAGAGAAAAACCTTTACGGGATCAAAAACTCAGGGTTCACGTTAGTATAAATCCACTATAAACGAATAAACTTACAGTACTACCAGACTCGACTAACTCTAGTACTTTCTGACCTCCTGACCATAATCACCAAAGCCCTCCTTCGTGCTCCTGCACCAACTCCGTCTTTCGAAATTCATCTATTTTCTGTGGATTTTCACCAAAGTATGTGTTTTGGTTTTTGAATTATGTGTCTTTGATGTTTTTTTAATAATATGGCTCAATGAATTTTGCATTGAACAACTTGTGTAAGGGTAGGAAGAAATTTCTCAAGTGGCTTAATGTTCAATTTGTGTGTTTTACGAGGTGAGGCTCAGGTACTTATTGTTTGGATGTTTTAGGTAGTATAGGACCGTTAAAATCCTTTAAAAACGCGAAATAGGGTTTCTCAGAATACACTGTCGCTCAAGCGAAGCTCAGCGACAAGCGATAATGTTTAGCTCGAGAGATAGTTAGGCGACATGCTAGTGACGAGATTATTGTTTTTTACACTTGAGCAACAACTCAACCGCAGGCTAGTAGAAATTTTGTAACTTTTCTTTTGTTGCAAAGACAACCCCATTGATTTCTAACACATCTAAATAACCTACCGCATGACTCTTTGACTTTTTAACACTTTTTTTATCTATATATTTGTTCACAAATTGTCAATAATTATAAAATCTAACGTTATTCCTGCTTTATTTCTTTTATATCGATTAAGTCGAAACTTTGTCCAAATTTTCACTTATCAAAAATATTATTTTGAATATAAATTAATGCACTATAAATTCGTTATTCTACAATGTTTTTCTCGATAGTATATATTAAATATAATTATTCCATTTAATTAAACATTAATTTTAATTGATATTGTGTCATGTGATGCTAATTTAAGAGGTAATTAGTACACAGCGTCCTTATCTTTCATTATTATTATGGAAAATGTCCTTACATTTTAATTTTTGACATTATTTTCACATTTCATTACACAAAAGGTCATTTTCATTTATTTCTTAATTAAAAGCTGTGAAGTGACGAACATACATTTTTATTTAAATAAAACAAAAAGAAAAAGAAAAAATTAATTGCAACCATAGTTTCAAAATTTTTTTAAAAAGTGCAAAGGAGTCTCAAGTAAATTAGTAAAAGGGTAAATATCACATAATGTCCCTACATTTTTCATATTATTGTGAAAAACGTACATACCTTTCATTTTTTTTTTTTTTGCATTTTCACATTTTATTGTACATTTGATTGCGCAAACCATCATTTCAATTTACTTTTATCCAATTTCTCAATAAAAAGCTACGAATAACAAATATACCACTCCTATTTAAATTAAAAAATAAATAGAAAATTGCAACCACAGTCTCAATTTTTTTTAAAAGTGCAAACAAGTTCCAAATAAATTATTAAAAAATTAAAAATTAATATATTTTTTAAAAAAGTGCAAAATAGTCCCAAGTAAATTATTAAAAAAATTAGAAATTAAAATTAAAAAATGTAAACAGGTTCCAAATAAATTATTAAAAAATTAGAAATTAAAAAAATTAATTTTCTTTTTTTTTTAAAAAAAAATTCAAATAGCCGTATATTTTTCATTTCACAGCTTTTAATTGAGAAATTGGATGAAAATGAATAGAAATGATTGTTGCCGCAATCAAATGTGTAATTAAGGGGTGAAAATACCAAAAAATAAGAGATAGAAACATTTTTTCCAATAATATTAAAAGATAGGGACATTATATGTTAATTACTCTTAAACTAGTTTATTTGTGATTCGTTTGTACTTTTAAAAAAAAAAAAAAGGCACTATGATTACAATTAGTTTCTTATTTTTCTTTTTATTTTATTTAAATAGAAGGGTATATTCGTCATTTTATAGTTTTAATTGAGAAAATAGATTATAATAACCTTTTACGCAATGAAAGACACGAATAAAAATGAAAGTGTCCAAAAAAAATGAAAAAGTACGTTGTTTTTCACAATAATAGTTGAAGATAAGAATGTTTTGTGCTTATTACCCTTAATTTAAGGGTTTGTTTGACAATATTTTTGAAAAGCCAATTGGAACTTTTGAGACACAAAAGTTGCTTTTGAATTCGTTTGATTAAATTTATGGAAGCGTGTCTTTTAGTTAAAAGAGTTTTTAGATGAAATTGATCTAATGCGACTTCTTTTAAAAGTACTTTTAAAATAGAAAATTCTTTTAAAAATTAATTTTTTTAACAAAATTAAGGTAACTTATTATGAAAGGTTTTGTATAGCAACCAAAAGTAAAAGCGAAAGCAATGCGAGACGGGACCCTAAATAGATTATGTGGCATGTGACATAAAAATTATTTATGAAAAAAACAATGAGATATAATTAAATTTATTCAAATAAATATTCAGTACTTGTATGAACAAAATCTTTTATTTCTCAAACAAAAAAAAAAAAACAAATAAAGAAAGAAAAGAAGAAGAAGAAAAGAAAAATTAAAAAAAGAAAAAGAAAAGAAGAACTGGATAATACGACATCGTTTGTGCTTTCGTATTTTTGCGCCACGGAGATTTTTCATTTCTATTTGAATCAGTGAGAAAGTGAAAAAACGACGTTTTCTAAATTTTCTTCAATTTCTCTTTAATGGCGGAAGAACAAGCAAATTCCAATGTTCAAGAACCCACCCCCGACCCGAATCAAAACTCCGTCGAAGCTACAATCGAATCTGGCGTCGATTTCGGGGCCACCGAGTCCACTTGCAACAACAACAACAACGACAGCAACAACAACGAAAGCTCCGTGGTGACTTCTGATGCTGAGTTCCAGAAGTCATTGGAATACGCGGATGAGTTGATGGTTCGGGGCTCAAAAGCCTCTCAGGACCGTGATTACGCCGAAGCCACTGATTACTACAGCCGTGCTTTGGAAATCAGGTTAGGGTTTTTCCTTCGTTACGCCTTTGTGATTTTTAATTTACTTTTAGCTATTTGGAAGTGAAATTGTTTCGTTTGCTTTAGTGTAAAGTATTTTAGCAAACTGGTGTTAGAAATTGAGGGCAAGGTAGGGACATAGTAATCTTTAAAGGTTTTGGTTTATTAAGGATGTATAATTGGCTCTACAATTTTTTTAGCTAAGCAATTAGCTTGACTGCTATTTTAATCTTTATATTTCTTTTTTGTCATCTTTCTTTTTGGGGCTTCAGAAATGTATAGTCTGTTTACTTAGTATTAGTTTGATTTAGTGGAAAATTTGTTTGTAAACCTTGTTGGAAGCTGGGGCAAGGGTAGAGCTTTACCAATGTAAATTGCTTTTAGTTTATTTGCCCATCGCCCCGTTTGTCCCCCATTCTTTGGAAAAGAAAATGGGTGGAATAGTGTTTTTTTTTTTTTTTTTAAATGAGTGGTTCAAAAAGAAGGAAAAATTTTCAATTACTAGTACTATTATTTCATGGAAGATTGTGTGGTTGAAAATATGAGTGAGAAAAATGTAATGTAATGGAATGAAATTTAGTGGGGGCCAAATGGGGGCGAAATTAGAAGTGGATAGAATTTTTTTAAATTAAGTAATTAGCTTGACAATACTTGTTTTATTCAAATGTTGATATGATATTTTAATCTCTTTACTTCCATTTTTCTATTCTACCTTTTTGGGAATTTAGAAATGTATAGTGCATGTTTTTATGATATAATTGAACGAGCAATGTGAAGACATGTTAAGCTAATTACTTAGGGCCAAAAAAAAAAAAAAAAAAAAAAAAAAGGGGGGGGGGGGGGGGTGGCCCAAGCCCTTGTTTGAACTTGAGAAGACATGTTAAGCTAATTACTTGGGGCCAAAAATAAAAAAAAAAAAAAATAGGGGGAGGGGGGGTTACCCAAAGCCCTTGTTTGAACTTGATTATATAGAAATCAATTTCCCCCACACTCATTTTCAACGACATTTTCATAAAAGTAGTAGCACTACTACTACTATTTTCACATTTCCCAACAATTTTCCAAAGAATAATGATAGTTTTTAGGTTTTTTTTGCCATATGGTTGATTGTGATCATGTTCACTGTTTTAGAATCAACTCAATTGTGCTGATTGGGTTTGTTTTCTGAATATGCACTTAATGATTACCCTAACTTAAATTTCTGGTATTGACAACCCACAATGTGAATGTACTGAAGAATAATGTAGAAGTTTGAGAAGAAAATAAAACACATATGAGATAGAGCCTTCTATTCCTTGTAATTTCCATATACTCTTTTTTTGGCATGTCCTGATGATCAAACAGAGGATTAGACAGCCAGTTTTTCTCCTGCTAGAGTGGAATGGTAGCTTTACTTAATCTAATCTCTGAAATTTAAGTAAAAAAGGCACAACTGAATAGAAGATCTAACGATATAACTTCTTCTATTTTCTTCTCTCTCATGTCCGTTGCAAGGTAACGGGAAAGAAGCAAATCCTTGATACTTTCCTTTTGTTCTTGGCTTCGAGCCAACTTACCACATTCCTTGTTCTCCATAAGAGCATCACTACATTCCATAGTTCCTTTGTTACACTTTCATTGTAATGAAATTACACTCTGATGTGAAAACTGGTTGTGACTTTAAAAATGCTTTTAGGGTTGCACATTATGGTGAACTTGCTCCTGAATGTATCCAATCTTACTATAAATATGGATGTGCCCTGCTGTATAAAGCTCAAGAAGAAGCTGATCCATTAGCTGCTATGCCCAAAAAAGAGGGTGTAAATCATGAAAATTCCAATGTAGATGGATCTGTCACCATAAATGGTGAATCTTCTGCTGCCTCGGTTTCCAATAATGAGGAACAAGGTGGAAGCTCAAATAATATGGATGAAGCTGCAGATAATGGTTAGTATTTGTTCTAAGTTCTATGATAATTCAGATGGTGATTTTTGTAAATTTGTCTGATTGGTATGTTCTTATTCTTATGATGGGCAAAATATATGTTCTGTCAATGCTGTTTATAGGATGACTTGTGTATGTTATTGGTTTGCTTTAAGAATAATGAGAAGTGAACTTGCCACATGTTTGCTTTAAGAATAGTGAGAAGTGAACCTGTCGCATGTTTTCTTTAAGAATACTGATACATGCTGTGGCATCTACGATCTTCATTTTGGTATTAACCATTTCTGCCAGTTATAGTAAAAGAAGTCATACAATATCGTTAACTTGAGTGGGACTTCTATTTGTTATATAATTCTCTGCAAGGTTTATTTTCCAAGATGGCTACATTTCCAATGCTCCTTGGGTGATTTTCTTTTCTTTTTATTGGGAGGTCGGGAGCAAAATATGTATGTATACTTGCTATACAAGTCTTGAATTCTATGTAAATCTCAAGCAGTTTTTATCTTCCTTGAACATGTTTATTTCTGCAAAATTTCCTTTTATGCATTAACTATGCGGCAGAGTTGGTTGCTTGTACTCATTCTTTCATCTATTTGAAATTCAATAGCTATGGAAGTAAAGGACGAAGAAGAAGGTGACGAAGAAAGTGATGCTGAGGACCTTGCTGATGGAGATGAGGATGAATCTGACTTGGATTTGGCATGGAAGATGCTGGATGTTGCTAGAGCAATTGTTGAAAAGCACTCTGGAGATACAATGGAAAAGGTTGATATATTGTCAGCTTTAGCAGAAGTTGCTCTGGAAAGAGGTATTTTTTTTATGATTTATTTATTATGTCAATCTACCTAGAGAGATTTTATGGGCTTTCTCAGCTAATTGTAATCTGCTTTTTCCAGAGGATGTTGAAACTTCACTTAGTGACTACTTGAAAGCCTTGTCCATTTTGGAGCGTCTAGTTGAACCAGACAGTCGACTTATAGCTGAACTGTATCCTTTGTAATTTTAAATGTCCTTTCATTGTTTAAGGTGGTAATAATTGGAATCTCAATGCTGGTCTGTTTTAGGAAATGTTTTTAATAATTCTTAGAATTCAATTTTCGTCACACTACGTTTCCGATTGACTTCCATAACAGGAGAATTCAGAAATTTTAGGATATGCTTGTGCTTGGAAATTGGTTCTAAACCTGAGGAAGCTATTACATATTGCCAAAAGGCTATATCAGTTTGCAAGTCTCGTGTGCAGCGACTAATGAATGAGGTAAAGAGCTCATCAGGATCAGCAGAAACACCGGCTGCTTCTGAATCAAGCCAAACTATTCAACAGTCTTCCAATACATTGGATGATTCTCTGGAAGACAAAGAAGCTGAGATTAAAACACTTGATGGTCTGTCTGGTGAGCTGGAAAAGAAGGTGAGGTGACTATAAATTACCCACAAATATTGGGTACCCATATGACATGGTAATGAAAGTCAATTTTTTGGTTTGCAGCTTGAAGATCTTCATCAGCTTGTCTCAAACCCAACGTCTATCCTCTCAGATATCCTGGGAATGATGTCTGCAAAGGTGAGTGGCGCTGAGAAAAATGCTCTTTCTAATGCATCAAGCACCTCACGGATAGGTGTTGCTAACATTGGTGGAGCTATTGAGTTGTCAACTGTCTCTACTGCGCACACAAATGGGGCTGCTCCAGTAACACATCTGGGAGTTGTGGGAAGAGGAGTCAAGCGAGTTGTGATGAACTCAGGCACGGAAGAGTCTAGTGCATCCAAGAAACCTTGTATCGATCCATCACCAAACAATGGTGAGGGCAGTGACCCTTGAAGAATTCTGCAAGTGGAAGTCTGCTCTAGGAAATTTCACTATTGACCGATAATTATATTTCTCTAAGAGCACAAAAGATTAAACAATATGATGCTTAAATTGCTGTTTTGAATCTTGAATTTATTTTTGTTAGTTTGTTGTTGTCAACTTACTGCTTTAATTTGAAGGCAAATTTTCCAAGTAAATATGGTTCTTGCATGGCCATTGTGTGTTCATCGACACGAACTCTAGGGCTAATGATAGTTACAAGAGCGTCTCCTTTGTGGTTACATTAATTTCAAATGAATGCAACTATGGCTGCAGTGATGCATGGCATGTTTAGTTAAGAACAGTGCCTTTTGTGCTGCTCAATTTCACGACTTCATAATTGTTGCTCTGGCCTTTTAAGGGTGTTTATTTATTTTATTTTATTTTTTTATCATTTTCTCCCTTTCAATTCTAATTTTCAAGTTGTCCCATGAAAAAAGTGAAATTTATGAAAGAATAATTTAATTTGAATTATTCATGAATAATTGTCCAAAGTAGTAACTGCATTAACTTCATAGATAATTGGTAGATTGTCCGCAGATATCTGTTTCTGCAGGACGACACTATATCCAGTGGTCGGCACATTGTCTTCTTCATAATTGCATTGCAAAATTTGATTTCCCGATATCCTCACTTGCTTTTACTTTTCCCTAACTTGATAAGCCATATTGCCCTTGTTTGAGCTCCATTTTTTGTCAAGAAAATACATTTTGAATGATTTTGAATGGTGTAATGATGTAAAATGTGTGGTTAAAAAATAAGAAAAATTTTTAGATTTTCGTGTAATATTATTTTATTGAAGAATTAGTGGTTGAAATAATATCAAAATACTGTTTAAAAATGTATTTTTTAAAAAAAAATGGGGCTCAAACAAGGGCATTATTTCTTAAATAAGGAGTTTTCTTAAAAAAAAAAAAAAATGTTGAACCCCAACTTTGAGGGTCCTCATCGCTCCACCTCTAGAGCTTTGTGAGGGAGATAAATCGCGAGATGTATCCCAACAGATCAGGAAACAAGAGTTGCATGTACATTGTGCCTATAAGGAGTCTAATTTCATGTTTTAGGAATTGAACTTTCACATTGCGGCTGCCAGCAAGGCGTGAGATAACCCCACTCTTGTCCTTTACACTATTGGACTATGCCCCGGGAGGTTTAAATAAATAGATTTCTTCTTGTACGCATGGATGGATCAAGGACTTGACTTATTTTATTTTATTTTTTATTTTAAGTTGGGCTACACAGTTCAGCCCCCTAAATTAATCAGTGTATGACGGTTAATGGGTCTTTAAAGGTCAAGTTAGATGTATGCGAGTTAAATCAACGAAGTAGTATGTTTTGTATTCTATTATCTTGATTGGCGTCGTTATATAAAAGTGAATATGAAAATGATGAATTGGTCAGCAATGAACCTTGTTGAATGGAAAATCGAGAGAAAGGAGAACATGTTGCTTGTCTAGCATGCATTATCACTAGGTTGCTTGTATGTCCAGTCGAGCATAATTATGTAGATTTGGAAGTTACTGTCAAAATGTTCGACATGGTATTACTATACTCAAACGTACTTGATAGACATTTCGGTCTACTATTAAAAATTTTTGTTAAAGGATTATAAGCACAAAACGTCCCAATTTTGTAATTTTTTGCATTTTCATCCTACTTACACCTTTTGTTGAGGAAGTCATCATTTTCACCCAATTTCTAAATAAGAAACTGTGAAATGATGACTATATCACTATATTTAAATAAAACAAAAATAAAATAAAAAAATAAAAAATCAATTGCAACCATATTTTTCAACTTTTTTAAAAAGTGCAAATGGATTCCAAATAAATTATGAAAAAATAAAAAACAAGAAAAAAAATTAAAAATGAAAATCTTCTTCTTCTTCCTCAAACCCCAAACCAAAGCAAAAATCTCCACCACCTACCCCTGTAATACTCAATAACCGTCACATTTTAATAAAATTATTTCTGAAACAAATATATTTACCATGCTGAGAGTGTAATACGCTTCACTATTACCAAAATCGACTTAGAGTTTAAGAAATCAGAGTGTTGAATTAGACCAGTTTTTAGCTTTGACTGATACCATTTCCTCACAAGCTTTGGATAACACTAGTGAATGGAATCCTAAGAATAAGTTATCAAAAAAGCCGAAGAAATTAGCAGGACAGGAAGCAGTGGAGCTGAGTTTACAGAGGATACAGGGGACAAGATCAACAGGCAATGCATCGAAGAAATTTTGACAAACCTTTTAATCTTTTTCGACAGCCCATTTGCTCGCTGGTAAAGTCCACTCTTCTTCTTCTTCTTTTCATCTCTCTCTCATTCAATATATTCACTTCAGGATAGATATTGTAGGGTTGTTGGGTGTGTCATTTTTTTTCTTGTTTTTGATTTTCATAATTTATTTGGGACTCGTTTGCACACTTTAAAAAAATTTGAAGTATGGTTGCAATTAATTTTTTATTTTTCTTTTGCTTTTTTGTTTAATATTTAAATAGAAGGATATATTCATCATTTTACAACTTTTCATTTAGAAATTGAACGAAAATGATAATTTCCACAATGAAAAGTTTAAATGAGGTGAAAATGCAAAATATGCAACGTTAAGATGTTTTGCACAATAAAATCTAAACATAGGAATGTCTTGTGCTAATAATCTTTATGTTAAACAACATAAACCCTTATTTGGTTTAAGTAAATATTATATTTTTTCATAAATTTGTTAAAATGTGTAGTTGAAAAGTCGTAGATATTATGAAATGTAGGATTTACAATGAATTTGGGATAAATTTTGGAAAATGGAAACAAACCAAGTAAATAACACAGAGAGGAATACAGTTGGATCCGTTAACCCACACAAAATTTTGGATAAATTACCTGAATACCTATATTTTAAGTATACATTTCAAATATCAAAGCGCAGCGTTTTCTTTTTACAAATCATGGGTTAACAAACCAAACACTGTTTTCATTAAATGTCTCTTATGACAATGTCAATCTGACATTTTCATTTTGTCAGTTGATAGCTCAACAGTAATGATCATACTTAATGTCCTGTGTTGAAGAAGCCTGAATTCCATCCACTACCGTCTGCTTCCCAACATTTTCAACAGTTCAACTATCGAATTTGACATTTACATTTACAAACTGTCGGGATATACAATTTTACTATCAATTTGGACACTTCAAAACGATGGAAACCCTTCATTTGACCTTTTGCTATTGTACAGATTTATGTATTATGTATTTTCACTTTCATGCTATTAAGTGTCAACATATTGATTCTGATTCTTACCATTGCAATCCCAACATTTCAAGTATGAATAATTATTTGAGATTCATCGTGTCGCATGGGGAAAGTTTGTTCATACGGATGATGAATGGATGTGGAGAGGGGACAAAATCACTTTCATTTTGGTGTCAACAAGTATTATCGTAGCCGAACTTTTGTTAAGGTTGAAAGACAAACTTGGTATTCTTGATCCCCGCACTTAAATTAAATTGAAATTCAAAGTCCCTAACTTGAATATACTTTCGGCCGAAATATGCGACGATGAAGACTTAAATTGGTGGTAAAAGTGGTTGTCAAATGTAATCCCTAAAATGTTCCCCCTATGCAGTGTACATTCTGAATTTATGTTATTAATCTGTTGTTATTATCATATGCCAACAAAAAATTAGTCGTTATATTTCACAAGCAAATACCGATCATTACGGTTCCATTACTACAAACGGGATGTATATATTATTTTCATTATAAACTTAGTCGATTACTATGGTTCCATTAGCTTCGACTGATAATTTGTCGAAATGAAAAATTGATTTTCATGAAACAACAATTCACAAGCAAAACCCAACATTACGTCTTGACAGTTCATATGTCATGCCCAACAAATGGTTTCTGTAATTCTCAACAGTTGTGAACAATAACGACTTCCAAAAATACACTATAGCGATTACCCATTATGGACGTGTTGTTACTGCACGTACGCAAAGGACATGATCAAAATCATCCCTACCATAAAATAATATACATAATTTCCTACAAAATGGTCATTTATTTCCTACAAAATTTTGTAGTGTATTCGATAGAATAAAGTACTCTTTTTTCGTTTATTAAAATTTTCCCCATAGAGTTTTTCCTAATAAGGTCTTAATGAGGCATATTCTTTATACAATGATGTCCTTAATCTACAAGGTATTTACCTTAAAAAAGTATACTCTTATACGTGTGAGACTCTCGAATAGATCAACAAGAATTATTTTTCGAATTATAATGTTACTACAATCATTAAAGATTGATAAATATCTTGTATGAAGATGGTGTTATTTGAAAACTATGCAAGACAATATGAGACACGCTTCACTAAAAACTATAATATTTGAGACATTGATGTACGAGATATAAATAGTTTGATACAAGAATTGAAATTAGGGGGAGCAGTAGTACTCTTTTTTTTTTCGATCAAGTTTTGTCTGATTGGATTTTCTTGACAAGATTTTAACGAGGCTTTATTTTATTACTCCAAATTATTTGTGCTCTTTTTTCATTTGTTGGCATCTTTATTCCATCGGGGTTTTTCCTAAACAAGATTTCAATAAAATAGTTATTGTAGAAGTAATCAAGAAAGGGAAAGTATTATAAAATAATGAGATAATTATTTAGTATCATCACGATACTTAGATAAGTTGTATCCAGTTTAGAATATCTATTTCATTACAATTATAACTCTTATTTTCGACCCTATAAATATAGGATATTGATTCTTAATAATACACACAAGTCTATTAACTCACTTTCCCTTCTTTTTCACAACAAATTTGAGTTAATGCCCGAATTTTGAAATATTTTTTGACAAGGTTATTAGATTCGAAATGTAATTGTATAGTGTAGTAACTGTGTAATTTTCCCCTAAATTTTTTTGATACTAATCCAAAAACTCGCTGGCCCATTTTCCTAATTATTGAAAATTTTCAAGAATCATGCTTGGTGTATATCAAGTTTGATATTTGAGACATGGTAAATTGTCATTTGATATTTTTTTAAACACAAAGACAATGTCGTTTGGTGTACAAATGACATTTTTCTTTTTTCAAAAGCCATGTGGATAAATTGCCATAAAAACATTGCCAGACGTAATACCCCAAACATACGTACAATATATTATGACATATGCACGCTTTGAAATTTTAGGATAACTTAGCAACTTTACCATTTTCTAGGACCTTATGTTAATATTCTTAATAAGTGGATATATATGAGTTTTACATGAAATTAAATTTTAATAATATTTTGGATATTTATTAAATTATTATTGAATTATCTGATATAAAAGTATTTAGACAAGTTTAGAATTTTAACATATTTATATCTTGAAAATAAGAGTTTTGACGAGATTACAATTTAACATTTGGATATCTGTTGAAATATTACCGGATTATTTGCTATAAAGGTGTTTAGAAAAATTTAGAATTTTAACATATTTGTACTAAAATCTCATCCTAACATAGTTAGAATTTTCTTTGATAAAATTGTTTATTAAGAGTCCTATTAAAATTTTAGGTAGGTCATTATGATAGTCCTACCTATAAATACCGATGTGCACTTCAATTTACACAAATTCAAAGAGAAAAAGAATAAAGAAAGATAGAAAAGAAGGGAGGGAAAAAAGAAAGAAAGAAAGAGAGAGAGGCTGAGAAAAAGAAAAAAAAAAAAAGAGGGGAGAGAAAAGAAAAGGTTTTCTAACGAATCGCGATCCGTTCACAAAAACTTTCAGTTTTAAGTAACTCAAATATACAAGTAATTTAACGAATTATGTATGAATTTCTCTAAATGCCAAGTGATTTTGTGTATTAACCAACGAAATAATCCTCCAAGAAAACCTCAAAACTCATTGACTCTCAAAATCTCACCAAACAGCGACCTTGCCACATGGGGACTATTCTACATAGCCTTTGATCAAAACCCGTTAGAAAGTTTGTAGCTTTCGATTTTGTAGATGCATTTGTTGAAAAGGAATTTAGAATTTTTGGATCTGATAAAGAGTACTATTTAAAATAGCCTTCTTCTTGCTAATATCCCAGTTCTTACTACGTTTTTATAGACTTCCAATCCATGTTGATAGCATTAAAATGCAGGATCTGAATTGAACACTGTTTTCTTGGTTCTTATTGTTGTCTAGATGAGGAGTAAATTTCATTTTTTGTTAATTAGTGAAACACTATTTTATTTTTTAACTTGCTTCAGATAATGCAGGGGATGAAAGACAACTGAATAAGTGTAACAACGTTTTTGGAAGTCTTTTGAATAGCTCAATAAGGGCTTCATTGCGCATTTGACACAATTTATGAAATTGGGTGCGTCGCAAATATCTCATCACATGTTCGGCTGAATAAATTTAAGAATTAGGGTTCGAAATTGGATCGATTATATGATAAATCACGCATGGACACAAATTAGCTAACATGTCATTCAATTGGACTCTGGTTGACTGATAAAATTGCTTACTAGGTGCCGTTTTATCACCATTAAAATCTACATTTTGAGGGTTTTGATGTATTAATTATGGGATTAAGGACTTTAATTAGTTTTAAGGTTATTATTCTAATTTTTTGAAGGGTAAGGAGCCTACTTTCCTCTTGTTACGACTGTGTAAAGCAAGCCTCATGTTAGGTGGAATTGGGCCAAAGTCCAACAAGTAATAAATAGAAGGGCCACAAAAATAAATATAATTAAGTGCGTGGACTAAATAGCAATTTTGATAAAGAATTTGAGTTTGATTACGAATTGAATAATTGGTCAATGGCGTGTTTAAGTGGAAATAAAAGTCCTGGCGCAATATGGTAATGATTACAATTATATATATTCATTGATGCTACCAAAAATAAGGACCCTATATCGAGCCAGGAATCCTTTGGCTGAAGAAAGAAAATTTTGATTGGGAACTTACCATAATGAAAATGGATTCTTTATCATAAGTACTGCATTGTTGAAGATTTGGGACGCCGTGTAAGGGATCAGATTAATAGTTCGTTCCTTTCTTCAGAGCTTCGTTCACCACCTGTTTGTTAAAATTCCTGAGAAGCCAAACTAGCATATTTACATACAACATGGGAAGAAAGAAAGCAAACGGTAAAGGGCTTAATGCAACATCCGGATCACAACGACAAATTTCCATGATGCTGAGGGAAGAGTCAACTGGGAAGAAACGTGGCAATCTGAGTGCGGAAACCATGTTGAAACTCGATTACATGAAGGACATTGCTATATGGGCTAGTGTAGAAGCAAAGATTCCTCCGCTTGGTGCTTTGTATGGCCGGCAGTTGGCTGCTTCCTATGAAGCATTGGGCATTCCTCCTGACCCTTCTCTTTTCTTTTGCGAAAGGTTTGTTCGTAACTAGTTACTCTATTTTATGTTTAGCTCAAAACTTTTGTATATACCATATTACCATGCCTACTTTTTAAATCTTGAATCATTGTCTGCTTATATTACTTAGCCTATTTAATATGCTTTTGCTAGGAATGCTAATCTGTTTTGCACCGTGTTATAGATTTTGTGGTGTACAAACTAATGACACCTCAGTGTTTTGTTCTATGAGTTTGTGTTCCTAGGATATATTTTCGGTTATTCTTTTGGTGATAAATTGAAACTAATTTAGAACTTGCGACAATTTGATCATGGGAAAAGCATGTTATCCTGATACATTAGTGAGAACTTTGTAATTTCATGATCATAGCTTTGGCTTTTGCCAAATGAGCCAATGAATATCTGTCTCTCTTGACGAGCTATATTATTTGTAGTTGGTGCATGATGGTTTAGCATCGAGTTTTATTCTGATTTCTTCATATCTTGAGATAACGCAAACAATAAGAACGACAATTACTTGGCTATCTTATTTTTCGAAAACTACAGATAAAGGGAAAGGAAGGAAAATAATCTAAGAATAATTAGGTGAACAATTTATAGATCCTTTACCAGAGATCTGCTTCATTTTCATGCTCTTCTGAAATGGACATGTCTAGATATATATCTTGAAAAAACAGGCATTGTGGGGATTCTTAAAATAGAGGCTAATTTGAGACTTCAAATCAAAATAATTGTGATGCTTTCTGCCCAGTTTTATTAATTGGTATTACATCATATGTTTTAAACTTTGTATTACGCAAGAAAATTATCCGAAGTTCCTAGTCTACCATCTCATGGCATGTTTTCTTTAGCTCTTTTTAGAACTCATCATTTATATGGACATGCAAGAGCATTTTTTCTGTTCTTATTGGTATAATGGCTCATTCCGTACCATAAACCATGAAACACGAGTGACTACAATATGGATACAAGCCACACAAACTCTTTTGATTCTTCTCTCCCATCTTGTTTCTCTTGGAAGTGTTGATTATTTTTGCTAATAGCAGGTTTGATGAAGGCATTTGTGAAATGTACAATCATTTTAATCTGTTTATATTTACTGCAAGTTTGTGAAACGGTTTAATGATAGTTTGTTAAACACTTTATTATCCGGATCTGATGATGGTTTCTAATATGCAACAGTTGTGAATCTATCCTTGAACCTGGTCAAAATTGTACAGTCCGGATTGAGACGAACAAGGCAAAGACAAGACGTAGACGCAAGAAAATGAAGATTTCCACAAAAAATAATGTGGTTTACACATGCAATTTTTGTTCTCATCGAAATATTGTGAGAGGAACTCCAGAAGGCTATATGAAAGAGACTTGTCAATCAAAAGCTGAACAACTTTCAGACTCCAATCTTGCTAAATCTGAAGTAGCATCTACCAATATTGACGCTAATGAGGTGAAAAATACGGTTGGTTTACCTGTAGCAACAGCTGTAGAGGGACCTGACACAGTTATTGAAGCATCATCTACCAATATTGAGGTTAACGAGGTGAAGAATACGGTCATTTTACCTATAGCAAGAGCTGTAGAGGGACCTAACACAATTGTTGAAGTAGCATCTACCAATATTGAGGCTAATGAGGTAAAGAATACAGTTGGTTCACCTGTATCGACAGTTGTAGAGTGTACTGGCACAGTTAGTCCAGGAACTCCATTATTGGAATCGATGAGGAGGAAAAGAAGTAGGTCGAGCATCAAGAAAGTCTCTCAAACTGAAAGTAGCGAAGTTAATGCTAATGCAGAGAACGTTGTTAGTGCATCGAAGAAGAGGAAGAGGAAATCTTGGACAAGTTTGAAGGACATTGTGGAGAACAACAAAAACAACGATACTTACCAGAAGCTTACCAACTTAACAATTCCATTTTAGTTAATGCTAATGGTTTGAATGTACTTACCAATTCCAACAACTCGAGAGTTTTGAGTTATAAAATTTAAATGCAATATTTAAATCTTAATCCAAATGGATTGCAAAATTTAAACTTTTATTGTTATTTTATTTGAAGTACTTTGTTCATCTAATAAAAACTGAAGAGACCATAGTTGTTGCCTGAAGATTTATTGTAGAGCATAAAAATTTAGAAACCTTTTTCTTCTAGTCCCAATATGGGTACTGAAAATAAATGCAACATTACAGCCACACCATGCTCGTATTCATCTCACCCATATACCTGAACACTTCTCTCCAATCCATCCAGACAGACAAGGTACTCAACCCCAAACCAATCCCCCCCCCCCCCCCCCCCCCCCCCCCCCCCATCCTCTCCCTCTCTCTTCCCATACTCCTCAAAAATGTCATAAAACTATTTCTAAATTTTTTAAACCAAACAAGTTTTCTAATTTTTTGTTTTGAGAAATTGTTTTTTAAAATGACAAACCCAAAAAAAAAAATAAAAAAAAAAATCACTTGTTTGTTCTTTTGACTAAAGAGCTAAAGAATATATCCTTTGATGATTTAACGGCAATGCTTTGCATTCTAATGTAGTCTTCGTTGATACCTTTCTCTTCTGGCAATTTTCGTTATCTGTAGTTGGTGCATGATGGCTTAGAATCTAATTTATTCCGATTTCTTGAACATCTCGATATAGTGCAAACAATAAGCAAACAACAATTACTTGCCTATCTTGTTTTTAGAAAACTACACGATCTTTATAGAAAAAGGGGAAAGGGAAAGGGAAATGAAGGAAAACCAATCTAAGAATCATTAGGCGAACAATTTAGAGACCCTTTAACTAGAGATCAGCTTCACTTTCATGCTCTCCTGAAATTATATAGATCTCAAAAAAATAAGCCAATGAAATATGATTTGTTGCAATGTGGAGACAAGTCACCAGATTTATTTCTTCTGGGAGTGTTGATTATTTTTGCTATTGTTAGGTTTGATGAAGACATTTGTGAAATGTAAAATCATTTTTTGTGTATTCACTATAAGTTTGTCAAACGGTTTAAAGGCAGCTTGTAAAACACGTGATTCTCTGATTACGACAGATGAGAAACTATCCTTGAGCCATGTCAGAATTGTACAGCTGAGAAGAGCAAGGCAAAGACAAGATGTAGACGCAAGAAAATGAAGGGTGCGTTCCTTTGGAGTTTTCAGGCAATTTTCCATTTTTCATTTTTTAAAAAATGGAAACGCGTTTGGCAAGTTATTTTCGAAAACGCATTTTTGAAAACAAGAGAAAATTTTTCAAAGAAAACACAAAACGATTTTTTGGTAATTTGAGTGTTTTCTGTGCAAATGCCCCAAAATATGGAAAACACCCAAAACACGGTAATTTCTCTTCCACTATTCAAACTTCAGAAATTTTCCCTCGTCACTGTTCATGTCTTGGCTCTCTCCTTTTACTCACTTTTCCGGTTGCCAAACCACCGGATGCAACCATCATTAGCCTCGTCTCCTTCCCCTCTACAATCTCCAACCAACCACCAGCCACAAATCAACACGAAGCAACAGAAAATCCAGCCCAAGAAAATGAATGTCGCAACCCCTTTTCTGCCGGAATATCCATCTCAAGCGATGCCCACGGTCGCGCACCACCAACACTCGAGAGCCCTCATCCAGGTGATCAATACCATGTCCTAACATCAACCAATAATGCACCAATTCATTCTAATGTGTTTCAGTGCAAAGACGGCAGTCGCGAACCAACCTGCCTGCTTCGATTTGGGTTTCTGACGATTGACATCAGTCAAGTATTAATCATGTCCCTACAACCATGGGTGACACTTCAATTTCATCAATTGATGCAGAAATTGTCGCTGGAATGAGAGTTTTCGAACGTTCTTTTCACTCGCGACTGGCCTCTTTTGAGCAGAAATTTCGGCCTATTCGGCTGGAGTTAGGGCCAGCTATTGGGTCAAGGTTGTAGATGACATTGCGGGCTTCAAGTTCGTGCTATGATCCGGTGGCCATGGTGGCCGAAAAGTGGCGTTTTGGAGGTGTCGATATTGAGATTGAAAGAGAGAACTGTACAAATGTTTTCAAAAAATTTTAAACCAAACACATTTTCTAATTTTTCGTTTTGAGAAATCATTTTTCAAAATGATAAACCAAACGCATTTTTTACAATCTCAAAATAAGGCCTCAAAACAAAAAATGGAAAACAGAAACACAAAACGAATGCCCCTGAAGATTTCCGTACAAAATAATGTGGTTTACAGATGCCATTTCTGTACTCATCAAAATATTTTGAGAGAAACTCCAGAAGGCCATGTTGACCTCGCGAATTGTACCTCCTATGTGGCCAATCGATAGCTGCTCCATGTGATCCTCCCTGCGTGCAATCAACACACGGTCAGATGCACATGGTCGAAACCAGCTGGGGTGGTGGCGGCCGCATACACTCCGACGATCAAATTAGTATTCGATAATCGGAACATTGTCCGGGTTGTGCAAGTGAATGAGGAGGAGATTATATATATTTTCTTGTTATGGAGAGCTAAGTTGCAAGAGTTTCATTACCATTGTCTCTTGTCAAGTCTTGGGTATTTATAGGTGAGGAGAATCGTTGGATGTGGGACACGTGTATGCATCTGACGGCATGAGGTGTCTGCTCGTAGGCTTCAATCAGCCGCATCTATAGAGTGGGCGGGTAATAACTTCTCCTGAGTTGAGTTGACATAAAGTTAATATGTCACATTAACTAGACCCATGGAGACGTCAAATCAATTGGGCCTTAGGGGCAGAGAGGATCTTGACGCAGATTTTCTTTCTGAAAGTGGCGGCGCATTGCGCTTTGGCGTCAAGGACGCTTCGAAATATCAGAATAACTTCGGGTTGGCGGTGGATAACTTGTACTACCACTTTCGAAGTGGTTTGATATTCCGAAGTGTCTTTCAGAAGTGGTTCAGATAGGGGCATAACAGATTCCGAAGCATCTTTTCGAAGTGGTTCAGATAGGGGCATAACAGTGGTCCTCCCAAGTTCAAGCATGAATATTTATATCATGGGTAGACTTGTTTTCTCGATCGAGTATGCCTGCCTTGATTTGTGATAGAGAACTGGTATGGAAGGGTGAGGTGTGTAGTTTTAGAAGAGATTTAGATAGGTGATCAGCTTCTCCCGAGGCACAACCTATAGGGGACGGTGTGTTGGGAAAAGGGAAAAGCCTCGCGAGGCGTAGGGACGATGTGTTGGGAGACGACTAAGGCTTTGTAAGCTCAGGAGGGAACGCAACCACCGAGGCGATGACCAACAGGGGATGTCGCATCAGGTGCGTCTAAGCTTTGTAAAACTGTTGGGAGCTTATCTGCTTCCGATGCACTGACCCACAGGGGACGACGCGTTGGGAGATGGCTAAAGCTTTGTAATGCTTAGGAGGGAATGCAGCCACCAAGGTGATGACCAACAGGGGACGTCGCGTCAGGTGCGTCTAAGCTTTGTAAAGCTGTTGGGAGTTCATCTGCTTCCGATGCGCTGACCCACAGGGGACGACGCATTGGGAGATGGCTAAAGCTTTGTAATGCTTAGGAGGGAACGCAGCCATCGAGGCGATGACCAATAGGGGACGTCGCGTCGGGTATGTCTAAGCTTTGTAAAGCTGTTGGGAGCTCATCTGCTTTCGAAGCGCTGACCCATAGGGGACGACGCGTTGGGAGATGGCTAAAGTTTTGTAATGCTTAGGAGGGAACACATCCACCAAGGAGATGATCAACAGGGGACGTCGCGTCAGGTGCGTCTAAGCTTTGTAAAGCCGTTGGGAGTTCATCTGCTTCCGATGCGCTGACCCACAGGGGATGACTCGTTAGGAGATGGCTAAAACTTTGTAATGCTTAGGAGGGAACGCAGCCACCGAGACGATGACCAATAGAGGACGTCGCGTCAGGTGCCTCTAAGCTTTGTAAAGCTGTTGGGAGCTCATCTTCTTCCGATACGCTAACCCACAGGGGACGACGCGTTGAGAGATGGCTAAAGCTTTGTAAGGCTTAGGAGGAAACGTATCTACCGAGGTGATAACCCATAGGGGATGTCGCGTCAGGTGCGTCTAAGCTTTGTAAAGTTGAAGATTTCGAACTGAGGCGAGCATTGTTGATGTCAAATGATTTGACAGCTGTCGCGTATTTTCAAGGCGACAGTTGGGTGCGATGCCCATTCTCAGAAAAAGGCTACTGCGGCTACTTATTGTAGATGGCTGATCGTGATCGAGGCGATGCATTTTATGCGAGCATGAGGGTCAAAGCTAGATCTTGGGCGTAGATCAAATATGGTGTTTCATTTCAATGGCTCAGATTTAAGATGCAATGGACGACCTAGATTGATCGCGTTTGAATTCAGTGGTAGAGATCAGCTGGGACGCTCTATAAAACGCGGACTTGAGCATTTTTAGAGTTTTTTTACTTTTGCGAAATCAGAAAATCTATTTCCTCTCGTGATTCTTGCATTTTCCGGCGTTGTGCAAGCAATTTCAGGCGACATTTCCAATTTTTGACGATATCTCATTGTTTGTTGATATTTTCTGACCGTAGGTCCCCCCAATTTCTTGAGTTTCAATAAGTATTTTCCAAGTTTTTTCACATTTTTGTATTTTGCAGTGGCTTCGGACGGTAGTGGGGCTTCGGGAAGGGATTTAGAGGTAGTGAGGGTGGATGAGCCTATTTTGGCGATGCCTAGCGATATCTCCGAGGCGATATTGGGTGGGGAAAATATTTGGAAAAGGCCTGACAGCCGGTAGATACATCAGAACACTGGGTGTCTTCGGATTACCCGTCGAAATTGAAGAAAGTCGATCTGGGTAGACTTAGGGCTGAATATAGAATACCTGATAGTGTAGAACTGATATTATCGGGGCCTGATGAGAGGGCTTGCTATCCTAGGTCGGGGTGTGTGGCTGTGAGTGAGGCAATTTTTAGGGCTGAACTTAGGCTCTCCCTCCATCCTTTCTTTAGGCTAGTGCTGAGGTCGTACGGGCTAGCTCCAACCCAGCTGAACCTGAACTCCTAGAGCCAAATGGTGGGGTCCTAGATATTATGGAAGGAGGCGTCG